TCCCTAACGGGACTACGGCTGCTCCTGCCTGCCTTTTGATCTGTTTCCCTGGGATACATCATTCTGACATTTCAGTTTCACATGTGACATGCGTTTCCATTGAGTCCTTATAATTGGAGATTTTCATCTATTTCCATTTAAGGTAATGCTGAAAGGGAAGGTCTCTAGTCCTGCCTGGTGGGTAATTATTTTCTGGTTTCGTAATTCCTCTGTCCCTTTCTCATTTCCTTACTTTCTTACAACCTTCCTTTGTAGTTAAGATCTTGTGTTTTTTTTTTTTTCTTAACAGTGTTTTTATTCCTTGCTTTTCATTTTTGTGTTTTATAGACATTTGCTTTGCCGTTGCCTTGAGGCTTCCAGAAAACATCTACTTTGAAAGGATGTCAACTTAATATTGATTATGAGGACAGAAATATAAACAAGTAAAAATAAATGAAAATGCCCGGATGAACTCTGTGCTTGTGCTTTATTTCCCACACTCTGAATTTTGAGCTCTCATTTTACATATTATACTTCTGTCCCTTAAAATATTAAGGCAGTTTTAAAACTTATTTGTTTTATAGTTTGAGTACTAAATATATGAATGGTTTATGTACTGTGTTTAAAATCTTAGCATGTTTTGATTTGTGTTCTTGGCACTGATTGTCCTGCCATGTGCTGTTGTCTTCTTGTGGGTGGCTCTTCCAGCGTGAAGAGCGCCCTCTAGCGTTTTTAAGAAGACAATTCTGATGGTGTTAAATTCAGCTTTTGTCCGTCTGTGATTATCTTTATCTCTCTTTCATATTTAAACAATAGCCTTGCTGGACACAGTATTAGTATTATTTTTAAAAAGGTTTATTTATTTTTATTGGAAAGGCAGACATATAGAGAGGAGGAGAGACAGAAGAGGAAGATTTTTCTGACGGTTCATTCCTCAAGCAGCCACAGTGGTTGGAGCTGAGCCAATCCGAAGCCAGGAGCCAGGAGCTTCTTCCAGGTCTCCCACGTGGGTGCAGGGTCCCAAGGCTTTGGGCCGTCCTCCACTGCTTTTCCAGGCCACAGGCAGGGAGCTGGATGGGAAGTGGAGCTGGTGCCCAGATGGGATCCCAGCGTGTTCAAGGCAAGGACTTTAGCCTCTAGGCCACAGCGGCTCCACTGTATTCTTCATTTCCAATATATCAGCTTTCATTTGATTCATTGCTGCTATTTCTTGTATAACATATTCCTTACATTCCCTGAACTCCTGCTTTACGTGTTTCTTGTTGCTGATAAGAAGCTTTGTAACAAGTGTTGTGAATTCTGCAATTTTCTTGATGTCTTCCTCGGTGAACTCTGATGTTGGCTAAGGGCCCTTGCTCCTTTGCAGGGGAGTCTTCAGTAATATTCATTGTGCCTTTGTCTCTTCTTTTGCTCTTGGTCATTGTACTTCTGGTTATCAGATTCTTCTCCTTTGAGCAGGTTTCTAAGTTTTGTCACCTACAAGTCTACAGTTTGATTTTACTTATTGCAGTTGGTACATGGTTCTTCGTTTGCAGTCACCTGTGCTACTCTCTGCAGTGAGTTTCAGGTCTGAGTTCTTATGTTAGATATTCACCCTGGTCTCTGTGACCCCCAGCTCCTGGCTCATCATTCTCTACCTCCTGTGACATTGTGCTGAGGCTTCACCATTGTCTATACAACCTTTCTCCCACTTCCGGTTGGAGCAGGTCCCAGGATTAGGGAGATACCACGTGTCCTATATAGCTAGGTTGTTGGTGGTGTTGATTTTGCTGGAACCTGTTGGCCATTAGGTCTGGGTGCCACATGGACCTATTTTGACCTGTACGATGCTACAGTCAGTATTATTTTCCTGTGGGACCAGTGCAATAGACTGAGCTTAGTGAGTTCTTGCCAAGCTCAGTGCATGTGCAGCTCACTGCTGTCCCTGCAGTCTCAAAGCCTTTGCCACACTGTACAAAATGGCGTCTGATGTGCCACTACTAGAGTTGATCTGCTGGCCGTCAGATCTGAGGGCTACCCAGACCTATCTTGGGTGGAACCATGTTGCTGCAGTTCACTGAGTCTAAAATGAGTTCACTCCCAGCCCCGTTCATGTACAGTGCTGTCTACAGCCCTTGCCTTCGTACGCAAAATGGTGCCCGATTCGGGTGTAGGGGGAGGACTGGGTTGTGAAATCCATCCTGTGGGGCCCGGCGCGGTGGCGCAAGTGGTTAAAGGTCCTCGCCTTGCACGCCCGGGATCCCATATGGGTGCCGGTTCTAATCCCAGCAGCCCCGCTTCCCTTCCAGCTCCCTGCCTGTGGCCCGGGAAAGCAGTCAAGGACGGCCCAAAGCTTTGGGACCCTGCACCCATGTGGGAGATCCGGAAGAGGCTCCTGGCTTCGGATCGGCATAGCATCGGCCGTTGCGCTCACTTGGGGAGTGAATCATTGGATGGAAGATCTTCCTCTCTGTCTCTCCTCTCTGTGTATCTGCCTTTCCAATAAAAAATAATAAAAATGAATCTTTTTTAAAAAAAGAAATCCATCCTGTTCCCACCACCCATCTGGAACTTGCTGATTTGTCTCTGCTTTTAGTCAGATCCAACAGACCTGAAGTATGGGCAATTCTTTGGGTTCACCTCCTGAGCTCCCGGTAAATGTTGCTTCCCACCTTATTGCTGGAGGAGTTTCGGCAGCTGCTATGATTCAGATGGCCACTTGCTGAATGCTGCTGGGGTGTAGGTCTCTGCAACACTACACAGTTGTGTCAGCTGCTTTCCTGTGTCTCAGTCTCCAGGTGCCACTCTGCTGTTGTTCTGTTCTCCTGCTTGCTGGAACATGCCTTCTCTGCTTCACACCGACTAATGTTTCACTGTTTAAATGTGTCCTTGTCCTATTCTGCCATCTTGATTCTCTGAAAAATTGTTCTTTTAGCTCTACCTCAGAGTTTCTGTTAACTTTAATGGGCTTTAATTTTTCTTGCCTTTGCATATTTTTGAATTAGCCTGTCCTCGTACTTACTGTTTCTTTCTTTTGCTTGACCTAGTTTGCTTTAAAAATTACTTCCATCTTTAAGTCTGTGTTAGGACATTGAGGAGTTTGTATATTTTTGCATTATATTAAAACTGATAGCTTGAAGTTTTCATTGAGAATTTGCAGGGTAGGGGCTATTTGGTTTGTCTCTGAAGTGTTCACAAGGGAGACTGCAGGATCTGGATTCTTTTTGGCTTATGACGTCTGCACAGGAAGTACTAGGTGTCCTTTCCAAACTACACGTTCTGTCTTTGTGGCTGTTCTTGAATTTTGGTGTAGTCTGCTTCTTTTCTCCAGGCTTATGGACACTGATATTCCTCCAATAGACGTGTTAAGGTGAGAGGACCCCACAGCCTGTGTAGGCCCCAAGTCTGCAGTTGGCGTGTTGTTCAGAATGATCTAGATGTTTCTAGAAATGGGTGGTTTGTTGCTCTAAACCTCTTCTTGGGGTGGTGCAGGCCCAAATGCCCAGTTCTGTGGCCACCAGGATCACATCAGGAGCCCATGGCTTGCAGGAGGTGGTGCAGCATGGGGGCGGGTGGAAACAGAGGCCATGATACCATGTGCCGTCTGCTGCTGAGGTGGCTCAGTGAGCCACAGATGGTGCTGGCTGGGTCATGCATCAAATTAGCAGGGCCATGAGATACCAGCTGGCACCAAGGCAGGTTTAGATGCCATGTTCATAGCCACTGGGCTTGGGAGGGCAGTGGTTAGATCTACCCAGTGCCGAATTTCACAGGCCTGGCACCATGCCCTAGTCACAACCTTGGGTTTCTTTCTGCCTACTCAAGTTAGGGCAGGAGTGATTAAGGCAGCCCCTTAGCTGCCTGTGCTAGCATGAACCAGATTCTCACAGTTACCAGACCATGGCCAGTTTTGGGGGACTTATGCCAGGCCCACATGAGGCTGGTGGTATCATTTGTCAAAGTGATTCTGACCAAAAAGAACCAGCCCATTGAATGTACTCTGCCGGAGTGTGGGTGCACTGACTTGTGGGTGGAGTGGGCTAGGCTGGAGTTCCAAGGTAGAGTCCCAAGCTCACTTTGCCACCTTGCCCCCAGTGCTTGGAGGCCGTGCTGGAGGCTGCCATGGTAGTGGAAACCCTGCCATGGCTGCTTGGCTGAGAGGTCAAAGCCCACATCCGCTTCCCCCATGTCCCTCCTGCTGGGCCCAGAACTGGGTTTCCAGTCTTCTCTCTCCTCTGAGTGGAAGATGAAGCAGCTCTCAAGTAGAAGGGTAACACAGGCAACTCTTCACTCTAGGCTCCTTGGTTTACACCCCGGCCCAGCCTCCTAGGCTCTTGTGAAGGTGATTGGATCAGTGTGACTAGGGGGAAGTGGTTCCTGGAGCATCTTACTGATGGGAGCATTTTCTAAGGGTCAGAGACAATTTGAGGTAGGCAGACAGACGACTCTTATCCACTGATCTCCTCCCAGATGCCCACATGAGTGGCAAGGACCCCATTCTTTGAGCCAGCATCACTACATCCTGGGGCCTGCATTAACAGCAAGCTGGATATGGCCAGCTCGGGCCCCCCATGTGGAAAATGGCCAGCTTAGGAGGGTCTTTGGACTCGGGGTGTGTGAGAAGGGGAGCAGTGGGCTGGACTTTTCACCTGGAGGATCCCTTGAAGTCCTTCTGCTTGAATGGGATGTTGTGGCTGCAGCAGCAGGTGCAGCGCCCTTGAGGGCCAGGCATCACCTGAGGGATGGTGCAGTGGGGACAGCCCTGCAGTTTATCGCTGCCTGCTGCTGCTGCCCCTGGCCAGACAGGCAGGTTGAGGCTCAGCCTCCCCAGGCTCCCAGTTTCACACTTGCAACTGAGGATTTGTTTTCATTCTCCAGACATTACTTCCCCTTCAGCTTCAGAACTTCCTTTTTTCTCTGGGGATGAAAAAACATGCACAGGCCACCGGCTTTAAGAAGGTGTTGTGGTCACGGTTTTAGGCTAAGTCCATAATGCTCTTTTTCCTTTTTTCTTTCTTTCTTTTTTTTTTTTTGTTAAACAGATGTGATGTTTACAGGAACAGCTGATGGCCGGGTCGTCAAACTGGAGAATGGGGAAATTCAGACCGTCGCCCGGTTTGGGTCAGGGCCTTGCAGTAAGTAGGTGGCACATGGAAGTCAATTTCACTCTTGGAGCAAAAGAACTTCTGACCTTCTGGCAGAGGGAGACACGCCAGCCCCTCGCTAGCCCTGTCGGTCTGGTTTCAGTGTACTGGTCCCCTCAGAGCTCACCGCCTGCTGATGGGAGCCTTGTCGCCCCTCGGACACCGAGTCCAATCCCTGTGTTAGCTCCCCGTGTGTCAGTAAGTTGTTTACATATCCTTGAACCAGACACATTTTGGAAAACTAGAGTAGAAAAACTGGCAGGACAGACGTTTTCTTGGTTACCATTTTTTCATTATCAGATATTTTTTTGGACAAATGGTGCACTTTGATTGTGAAGTGGAAACAGCACAAATGCACCAAGTCCAAATAAAGCAGTAGTGCCCTGTGAGTGGTCCCCGTGAGACTGCTGGGAACCTGTCGGTGACTTTCCAGGCATTGTGCTGACACGCACCACAGCCAAGGTGTTGTCGGGTGGATTTTATTCTCCATGCGGTTATTTAATCTATTTCCGTTCTGTTTTGGACATAAGCTCCCACAGTGAGTACTTGAGATCAGCACCCCCTGGGATCCCTGCTGGTGACCCCACAGGGAGCCCCCCTGGTGACCCCACAGGGAGCCCTCCTGGTGACACCACCGGGAGCCCCCCTGATGACCCCACTGGGAATCCCCCTGGTGACCCCACAGGGAGCCCTCCTGGTGACCCCAGCAGGCACGCCTGTGCCTCTATTGTGCCCAGCAGGGTGTATCTGTGGGAGGGAGGGTGAGATACTTGGGCATGGGGAAGGCACAGGTGGGATCTGGAACCAGCTGCCAAGCCCTCTTGTCTGTTCTAGAAACCCGAGATGACGAGCCTGCGTGTGGGCGGCCTCTGGGCATCCGAGCTGGCCCCAATGGGACTCTGTTTGTGGCTGATGCTTACAAGGGGCTGTTTGAAGTGAATCCTTGGAAACGTACGTGAGAGCATCCGAGTGATTTCAGATCTTTCTTTATCCATATGTGTACGCGTCGATAGAATAAGCTTTGTGCAACTGAGGTTCCTGGAGACTCAGTAGTGCTTCACTTACTCTGTAAGGGTACAAGCACTGTGCTCACACCCAGTGAATGCCCCCCAGAACACTCCGTGCCATGGCTGCCTCCCCTCACACCCAGTGAGTGCCCCCCAGAACACTCCCTGCCGTGGCTGCCTCCCCTCACACCCAGTGAGAGCCCCCCAGAACACTCCCTGCCATGGCTGCCTCCCCTCACACCCAGTGAGAGCCCCCCAGAACACTCCGTGCTGTGGCTGCCTCCCCTCACACCCAGTGAGTGCCCCCCAGAACACTCCGTGCCATGGCTGCCTCCCCTCTCCCTCATGTTCCCTGTGTTGTGCCTTGGTCACGCTGTGTCAGAGTGACTCACTCCTCATGCCCGTTTCCGCCTGTCTCTCCACGTCTTCTTTCTGTTAATTGCATCTCTCTCAGTGTTCTCTCTGCTGTCCCCTTTGTCTATTCTGTTTTTCCGCTCCGTCCTCCCTCTCCCCTCACTGGTTACAGATTCGTTTCGAGCAGTATTCTCGAACGTCAGCTGTGTGTTTTCTTAGTGGATTCCCAGGCAGTGCCAACCAGGGCCCTGCAGACCCGCTGCCCGGTGGCCCCAGCTTACTGACTGAGCGACAATGCCAGTGGCCTGGCCTCTCGGCGTCGCGTTTGCTCATCCGGGAGAGAGGGGTAACTGAAGGCTGAAGTGAGATCATACACAGAAGAAGAAGAAGAAATGTTTAGTTCTATTATTTGTTTAAAATTTCATTCGTGTTTTTGACAGGCAGAGTTATAGAGAGGAAAGACAGAGAGATCTTCTGGTTGCTGGTTCCCAGCTGCGGAGGCCGGGACTCGGGCTGGGAGCCAGGAGCCTCTTCAGGCCTTCCACGCGGCTGTGGGGAGCCAAGGCTTTGAGCCATCCTCTGCTGTTCCCAGGAGCGTTAGCAGGGAGCTGGGTGGGAAGTAGAGAAGCTGGATCTTGCACTGGAGCCCAGGCATGCTGGCACCGTAGACGGTGCTTAACTCACTGTGCCATAGCACCGGACCCTTTCCCATTATTAATATTAATATTAGTATTATTGGGAAAGTTAGTGCTGCTACTTGTCTACTTAAAAGCAAGTATGTCTAACATTGTATCTTCCTCTCAGGCAAACGAATAAAACTGAAGCCATTACCTAAGACTCTTACTAGAGGATTTAAAGTCAGTTGACTTCAACAGAAACAAAACTTTCCTTCACAATCTCTCTCTTTTTTTAATGTCTTGTCTGTTTTATTTGAGAGGCAGATTTGACAGAGAAGGAGAGGCGCACAGAGGTGGAATTACCTTTCATTTGTTTGTTCACTCCCCAAATGGCTGCAGCGGCTGGAGCTGAGCTGATCCGCAGCCAGAAGCTGGGAGCCCTTTCCAGATCTCCCACATGGGTGCAGGGGCCCAAGCACTTGGGCCATTTTCTGCTGCTGCTTTCCCAGGTCACAAGCAGGGAGCTGGATTAGAAGTGGAGCAGATGGGACCTGAATTGTGCCCTAATGGGATGCTGGGACCTCAGGGAGAGCATTAGCTTGCTCTGCCATTGCACCGACCCCACAATTACCTAGTCTTAATAGAAAGCATTCTGCCTTAATGAAGTTAGTCTAGGCGCAGGTGTTTCCTGGTACGTGTTCATCTCACACTGCAGTGCCTGGATTGAGTCCTGCCTCCACTTCAGATGCAGCTCTCTGCTGATGCCCACTCCAGAGGCAGCGGGTAACAGCTGCTCAGGTGCTCGGGGGGCCCTTACCACCTGCGTGGGAGTTCTTGGCTCCTGGCCTGGCCCAGCTGTTGCAGGCATCTGGGATGGAAGTGTGTGCTTGCCTGCTCAAGCTATTTCTCTCTCTGTATCTTTTAAATAAATGAAACTTTTGAAAAATAGAAGATAAAAATGCATCACCAAGCATGAACACACTCTTTTGTTTTACTGTAAGAAGGAATACATCATCTGGCATGGAGGAGCTCATTTTAGTTTTTCCCTTCTACATGACTTAGATTGTTACTGTTTGGAAAGTGTTCTTGGACTCCAAGCCTTGCCCTCCCCTCCCTGTACGTAGGCGAAGTGAAGCTCCTGCTGTCCCCCGAGATGCCCATCGAGGGCAAGAAGCTGTCGTTCATCAATGACCTGACCATCACCCGAGACGGGAGGAAGATTTACTTCACGGATTCCAGCAGCAAGTGGCAGCGGCGAGATTACCTGCTTCTGGTCATGGAGGGCACCGAGGACGGGCGGTGAGGGTTCCCTGCGGGCCATCCCACCGTGAGCCCCTCAGCAGGCCCTGGGGTGTTTCTAGCACACTGGCAGGGGACTTGGGGAAGTGTGTGAGGAAATGGAATTCTAGGCTGTTTGTCGGGGTCGGAGCTGGGATGCAGCACTTTCGGGTTAGTGCCCCCACCTGCAGTGCCAGCACTCCATATCCGAATGTGAGTGCCGGGGCGAGTCCCAGCTGTTCCGCTTTCTCTCCAGCTCCCTGCGGATGTGCTCTGGGAGTCAGCAGAAGACGGCGCTGCCGCGGAGGCAGGAAGCCCAGGTTGCTGGCTCGTCCAGCCACTTGGGGAATGAACCCGTGAGTGGAGGAGCTGTCTCCCCCTTTGTCCCTGCCACACTGCCTCTCAAATAACAGACCTCTAAAAAGTGTGTGTTCCATGCCACAGGATTTTGAGGGGTTTTTTTTTGGCCTGAAACTTTTTTTTAAAAAATGTTTGTTTTTTGAGATAACATTTTGAATATAGTCAAAAGTGCAGTGCTCCACTAAATAGTTGAGTAAGTGAAAAGACCCTCATTTACCAGGAATGGAAACAGTGATCAATAAAAACATGTCTGTTTCACACATGGTAAAGAGGGTTTTAAAATTATTATTAGAGATTTGTTTTTTTTGGAAAGGCAGATTTACAAAGAGAAGGAGAGACAGAGACCTTCTATCTGCTGGTTCATTCCTGAAATGGCTGCAATGGGTGGAGCTGAGCTGATCGAGAACCAGGAGCCTCCTCCTGGTCTCCTATGTGGGTGCAGGGTCCCAAGGCTTCGGGCCGTCCTCCACTGCTTTCCCAAGCCACAAGCAGGGAGCTGGAAGGGAAGTGGGGCCACTGGAACACAAGCAGAAGCCCATATGGGATCCTGGTGCTTGGAGTTGTGATATTAGCAAGTTGAGCAATTGCACCAGGCTCCTCATACAGTAAAGCTTAAAATATGAAAGATCATTAAAATTGTAGTAGTAAACATTCTCTTTTTAAAGATTTAAGAGAGTCAGAAAGAGAGGGAGAGTAACAGAGACCTTCCACCTGCTGGTTCATTCCCCAAATGAGTGTAGTAGCCAGGCTGTGCCAGGTCAGAGCCAGGAGCCAGGGGCCAGGAGGCAGGGGCCAGGAGCTGTGAGGCTGAATCCTCTTCCAGGCCCTGCGTTTGAAGGCTTAGGAGGGAGAGCAGAGCCTTAAGCCCGACTGTCCCCAAGGTGTCCTCCTCCCTTTTTGGCGCCCATAGCCTGCTGGAGTACGACACCGTGACCAAGGAAGTGAGGGTTCTCCTGGACCAGCTGCGCTTCCCTAATGGAGTCCAGCTCTCCCCGGCAGAGGACTTTGTGCTTGTGGCCGAGACGACCATGGCGAGGATACGAAGGTACGTGTGCTCTTAGTGGTGCTGTCGCTTGCTTTGCTGGAGCTCCTGGTGGCCAAGTGAGATGGGACATGGCAGGTGGAGGTGATGCTGGCAGAAGGGAAGTTCAGGCTGGATGTCCTTCCTATCAGTTCTTAGTGCCAGCGGTGCTACCCTGGCGCCACCCTGGCCCCACCCTGTCCCCACCCTGTTCCCAGTAAACTACACCCCTAGGACCCTCTAGTGCCAGTGGTGCTGCCCTGACCCCACCCTGTCCCCACCCTGTTCCCACTGGGCTGCACCCTCACTGTCCCCTAGTGCTAGCGGTGCCACCCTGTTCCTGCCCTGTCCCCACCAACTTCCCTCGGGCTGCACCCCCAGCATCCCTTTTTGGTATCTATGCTGTTGCTCCTGCTGGGCCAACAGCGTTTTGGTGCTCAGTGTGAGCTTTGCCCATAAGTGAGGGGGCTGAGCTGCTCACTGCCTCTTGGGGGGCCGTTTCAGAGTCTACGTGTCTGGCCTGATGAAGGGAGGGGCTGAGCTGTTCGTGGAGAACATGCCTGGATTTCCAGACAACATCCGGCCCAGCAGCACTGGTGGTTACTGGGTAGCCATGTCTAGCATCCGCCCCAACCCGGGATTTTCCATGTTGGACTTCTTAGCCGAGAGACCCTACATCAAGAGAATGATTTTTAAGGTAATTATAAAACCTAATTAAAAAAAAATTAATTATGATTTCTTTTTTTTTTATAAACTTTTATAGCCCTTAAGCAGTCTAGTTCTGCTTAAAATTTGCTTTATTTCTAATGGCTTCTTCAGGCACATTGCATTCTGCACACTAAAAGGTGACTGACCCCTGATAGTTTCCCTCTGGGCCTCCTGCTCCTGGGGCCGTGTGAGGTCAGCCTGACCATCCTGACTTCAGGGGCTCTGTCTGCCCACCGCTCTCCTCCCTCCCACTGTCCACTTTCCTCCAGGCCTGCGCCCTCCTGCACGTTCCCTGCACCGGGGGCACAGCCAGCACAGCGCCTTCCCGTGGCCACCTGGGGATTTATTCCTCTGGCTTCCTCCTGCCTTCCCAGTGTCACACCGATCTCTTCACGCCAGGGGACTCTGTTCTCAGACCTCCTACCACACAAGATGCCTAAAAAAAAAACAATAACAAAAAACCAAATCCTCACTTCCTTCAGTGGCTGGCCATTCCTTTGACCAGCCTGCAAACACTGGTCCGGCTGCCAGCTTTTTCATGTGGGTGCGCGCGTCTTGTAGTGAGCTGTCCTTCACAGGATATGGGATTGGTGTTGTGTGTGACCAGTGACAGGAAGTAGCGTCCCCAGCCTGCCCTCCCTGGGGCCACATGTTCTGCCTCTGCTGGGACGGAAGAGGCAGACCAGGAGACCAAGGGACCAGGAGAGGGTTTGGAGGAGGCCAGCTTGGCCAGGAGGGGAGGCTGTCTCTGGAGGGGAGGCTGTCTCTGGAGGGGAGATGTCGCACGGTGCTAGCTGCTGAGGAATTCAGGTGATGGTGTGTTGCTGGTACCCTGGCTAGGTGCTGGTTCTGTCACCACCAGTTTTCCTGCTCATGGCTGCTGGTGGTTGTATGCCCCTGTCTTGAATGCAGTGTGGGCACTTGTAACAGTGTCTGGCATATGGTAGGCCCCCAAGCATGCTGTTGAATGAATGGCTGACTGTGTGGGAAGGAGCCAGCCAGCCGTCCAGGCAGATATGCATCCCATGCGCCGAGAACCTATGTGTCTGGGTGGGAGCGTGGCGCCTGCTGCATCTCCCAACTTCCTGTGCCCTGGGAAGGGAGGAGAGGATGTGAGGGTGTGCAGGGAGACAGACCCAATGCTGGGCGAGGGGCAGGAAGGGGGCAGAGAACTGTCCTCCTGAGCTGTTGTGGGCTCACATGATGGGGCCCCATCACTGTCAGATACGTGCCTTGTGTCCCCGTGAATGGAACACTGCCCTTCACCACCGTCAGCCAAGTCAGAGTGTTCCCACTGCTGTGCAGCTGTCGTGGCATCCATGCCGACCAAGTGCTCCATCCAGGAGGACGTGTGCTGTTTGCTTGTCCCGTCTCATCAGTATCAGTCTTGCTGTTTCTGAGCACCGTTCCTCGTGGGCCGCAGCACGTCCCCACGTCGGGTGGTGTCTGGATGTCTGTGATTCAGCAGTTGTGCAGTTCATCCCTGGCTGGTGTAGACAGCGGACTCTCCAGGGGCGTCCTCAGAGCCAGCTCCCAGCTTCCCACTGTATCATTGGCTCTCGTAGGAGCGGCTGTTTATCTGATGTCCTCTTATGTGGCTGTGGCCGGAGGGAGTGGCTACTGGATATGTCCCTGTCCCTCTGGGACACAGTCTTGGCTTGCCCATCCTGGCTCTGGGGCGCTCTTTCAAGGAGCCCTGGCTGGTCCCTTCTGGTGATTTGCATGCTGTCAGCCACATCATCGTGTCTAGGTGTCGTGGCTCCGCTTGGGGAAAATGTGTGTCATCCTTGCTTGCGGATGTGTATGTAACACACACACTTTGCTTGGTTGACAGTTGCCATTTGTTTCATTTGGAAGTTCAAGTCAGAAGTTCAGCCCAGCTGGACTGTTCCCTTTTTCTCCCCAGTCCTCTCCAACAAGGAGACTGTATTTACTCATTTCATCAGTTTCCCTCAATGTGACACATGTGTAGCCATTGTCTTCCTCTCATGTGGCCCCTGCTGGGGTCAGCTGTGCACACTGGGTTGTCCTCACTCATTGGCCATGTGTAGGAGCCCGCCTTTTCCCCTCAGTGGCTCTGATACCATGATCATGCCTCACCCACAATGCCCCAACAGCCTGGATCAGGTCACACCATATGGGGTAACCCTTCCCCCATACAACTCGGATCCTGTCACTCTATGTGGGGTACCTCTCCCTACATTGCCTTAATGGCCCGTGCCCCGAGGCCTCCTGTCCTGCCAGCCTCACAGACAACTGTTTGGCCTGATTGTTCCGCAGGGAGTGACGGAGTGCAAAGAACATTTGAGGAAGCTGGGCATGGCTGCACTGTGGGCATTGGCCGTGGGGAGCCTGGGCAGTGGCTGGGTGTGCAGGGCACAGAGACGCAGGGTTGTGGGAAGATGGGCATGGCTGCTGTGTGGGCACTGGCTGTGGGGCGTCTTGGGCAGTGGCTGGGTGCACAGGGCACATAGAACCAGGGACATGGGAAGCTGGGCACGGCTGCTGTGTGGGCACTGGCTGTGGGGCATCTGGGCAGTGGCTGGGTGCGCAGGGCACATAGATCCAGGGTCATGGGAAGCTGGGCATGGCTGCTGTGTGGACACTGGCTGTGGGGCGTCTGGGCAGTGGCTGGGTGCGCAGGGCACAGAGACGCAGGGTTGTGGGAAGCTGCGTGAATGTTGCTGCTGAGCACATCCAGTGGCTGGGGATGCTCCCCATTAGGACACTCAGGTGCCCCGGGGTTTGCCCTCGTGTGGGAGCCAGATGCTATCATTCAGCTGTTGCCGCATAGTCCTCTCCACTGGGCTTTTCTCTTTAAACCTTGTCAGCTGTGAATGCGGGGAGAGGGCTTAGGGTGCTCAACTTGGAGCTGCACCCCAGCATCCACACACTAAGCTGTAAGGAAAGCTGTGGGACTGGTTTGTTTGTGGGGCATGGATTTATTCACAGAACCCTTGTGGCTCTTGTCATCCTAGGACCTGATGTACCAGAATCATTCCCAGTCTTGGCTTTGGGGCTGTACGTGCCTTGGAATATATTGGGGTTTCTGGGTACTCAGCTGGCCCAGCAAAAGATGACTTGTGCTTGCTCTGCACTGGCCCACAGAGATGGGCCAGGTGGGGTTGCTCTGGGGGAGCAGGAGCCGGGGATCTTGGCTCCGTCTCGTGGTGCTGCCCTGGCCCTGGCTGTAGCTGACCTGGCTGCACTGACCAGGGACTGCTCGCAGCCTTCTCACGGGTCTCGCCTTGACTTCCCTTGCAGCTGTTTAGCCTGGAGACGGTGATGAAGTTTGTGCCGCGATACAGCCTGGTCCTGGAGCTCAGCGACAGTGGGGCCTTCCGGAGAAGCCTGCACGACCCTGATGGACTGGTGGCCACCTATGTCAGTGAGGCTCATGAGCAGGATGGGCACCTGTACCTGGGTTCCTTCAGGTCCCCCTTCCTCTGCAGACTCAACCTCCAGGATGCATAGCCGGACAGTCCAGCCCTGCGTGCTGGGCGGCATCCTGCCTGGACCAGCTGGAGCAGGGGACACAGCTCTGCCCACTGTACCTGCCAGTCCTTGGAGGTTTGGCTGGTGCAGCTCCCAAGGATGTGTGGGCCCCCGAGGGCCTCCTCTCATGGGGGCTTGGCTTTGGTTTCAGAGAGAAGCATAATGTATCAGCCAGGGAAGGTAAATCTGTGAGCCATTTTCTGTTCTTTTTCTTAAAGCTTTCTAGGTGCAATAACTGTGAGCTAGGAATCAGTGTGCGCTTTAGCAGGCTCAGGGTTGGTATATGGAGCCAGAGGAGAGCTGCCCAGGACTGCAGTGTCTTCATTAGGAAATGGGGTGATACCTTTGGGGGGGTGCACGGGGAGGCAGAGCCTAGGTGTGAGCATTTTGGGAGCTGTGTGAGCTGTGTCCGTGGGGACCTTGTGGGGTGTGTGCCCAGGGTCCTACGTGTTCCCTCCACAGTAGAGTGAGCATCACTGCCCCTTCCACCTGACACGCCAGAGATTTTCAAGGCATTTAACCCTGTGGTTAAGATGCTGAGTGGGACAGCCACATCCCGTATTGTAGGGTCCGGGTTTGACTCCCAGCTCTGCTCCTAAAGTTAGTGTCTTGCTGACATGCTACCCAGGAGTCAGCACCCATGTGGCAGACCTGATTCAATCCTTGGCTCCTGCCTTCAGCCAGAACTGTGGAGGACATTTGAAGCAGTGAATCAGTAAATAGAGGCACTCTGTTTTTCTCTCTGTGTGCCTCAAATAAAATAAATAAAAATGCGAGGAGACTCCAGAGTGGGTGCCTAGAAAAGGCTAAGTGGTCCTTGGCTCAGATGTCTTACTGGGTTTTTGTCTATAGGACTTAGGTGACCTGGGGACTCAGCAGCCGCTGCAGGAGTGTGTTCAGGGTGTCCCATGTCTCCTCTCTGTTCTGCACCTCTAGACCACAGATGTGAGTAGCACACACGTTAATATCCTGTTTGCTCTAATGTTAAGAGTCCAAGTTGATGTGTACCTTGACAAATGCGTCCAGACACTGGAATTGAGTTTGATAATAAAAAATACTATTAACAGGACTGCTCTGCTGATGGACCTTTTATGGTGATGTGGCCGAGGAGTGTCACTCTGTCACCAGTTGTTGGTAGGAGGGTGTCTTGGGACTGCAGAGCTGTTGCGTTGAGATGCGGCAGTCCTGTGATGTGCTCGGGAAGGGAAAGCGTAGGAGCCCTCTCTCCCTGGGCATCCGGCATCTCCAGGGAAGCAGGGCCGAGGCTCCTGTCCTCGGCACTGACTCCTCCTCCGTAAGTGGACCCTACATTCGACTCTTCCTTCCTGGATGTTGGTGTTTTGAAGTGTTTGAAATAATCTGGCCAGTACGATGTTTATAGGTAGTAAAGAGAACTGTTAGCTATGGTACGCTCAGAACTCCCTGTGTTGTCACAGCAGGCAGGCCAGCAGGCTTGAAGCTGGCTCGTCTTGGCTAGCTTGTAGCACCCTACAGCAGAGGCACAGGTTGGCTTTATCCTGGTTGGTTAGGTGAGCAGCTGCTGGTGTTGTCGGTCCGTAAGGCAGCAAGCCGGGTATTCACTGTATGAAACCCTTTTCAATAGCTAACGGTGAGCTGCCTAGCACAGTTATACAAGAACATTAAGTGTACACCTAATCGTTTAAAAGTGCCGGGCCCGAAGGTTGACTTTTCAGTTCTGAACAGAGAGCTTTGGCTTTTAGCGCTCATTCTCACCAGAGAAGCTGGGAAATTGTCATTCACAGTTTTCAGCGAAGGCGTCTCCACTTTGCCTCAGATGTTGATTTTGTCTGTACGTGTCATTTCCTGTGTTTCAACTGGTAAATCGGAGCAGTGAGGTGCAAACGAGAGTCTTCGCACTAGGGCTGTGTATGTTTTTGCTCCAGTGTGAGTCACTAGCACACGTGACCCATTGCCTACCACATTCTCATCACACACCTGCAGACGGAGGTCCACGTCCACTGACTTCTAAATGATGGAAGGAGGCACGGTCTCATTGCATGATGGGAGCTGAGGCTCCAGAGCTGCCCCTCACACACAACTGAACCAAGACCCCGGTACCACGACTGAGGCTTCCCAGGCTTGTGGGCCCCAGCAGGGCTCTCTGGCCTTGGCCTGGGCTGCCCAGGTCCAATAAGACCAATGTGCTAGCCTTGAAAGCCACAGCCCAGGCCTGTGTGCACCCTCTCAGAAATGCATGGCGAAGGAGCTGGCACTAGCTAATGGGGCAGGGAGCAATGGCCTGCCTAGAGGAAGCTCTGGGCACTTGGGAGGTGTTCTGGTGGGGTTGTGACTGGTTTGGTTGATTTGAGACCTTGGACCACAGTTCTTTCTGTCTGTGATCAAGCTGTGTTAGAACCCAGAGCGCCCAGCTTGCATTCCCTTTGTGACTGTTATAATAACCCGGAGTACACCCAGGCCTTGAGCACCATCAGCAGCTTGCAACGACTTTGCATCCCTGCTCAGACTTGGCAGCTCTCCCATGCTGTCGTCAGGAACAGTGGTGTGCCTGCTGTGATGGTAACCCTGTCCAGCCACTCCTCCACCGTGCAAGCTTGGTGGAGGCAGCAGGTCAGCAGGCAGATGAGGTAGCAGTGAGCTGTCCTGCTCACGGCAGCTGGCAGGCAGCTTGGATCCTGGCAGCAGAGTGTGGAGAGGAAGCCTGGGGTCGGTCGGGTGTCGTCCTGTGGGATCACGCCCTGTGGTCAGCGCAGGGGTGATGAACAATGGATTCCTTTTTGTCTTAAGATATTTTCTGTATGGTGTGGTTGGCTACGGGAGCACCCTGCTAGGCTCACTGGATCCAGATTCTGTTTCCAGCTAATGAGCTTGTCCATCCCTGTTGCTTTAAGGTGACAGAGGTCTTCGTGCTCTGAGTACTTTGCACAGGAATGTGTTTGCTGTCCAGCAGCGATGAATTTGGTATATAAAGGCTGTAATAACACGCGTGGACTACCATGATGATAAGATAGCCAGAAGTTTATTTTGCCAGGATCAGACTTTTAAAAGAAGGTTGTCAGGCATCAGGGGAGGGGGATCTGAGTCATTTACATTCCAACAGGAAGAGACAGCTCTCCAGTACACAATCGGTTCGTATAGCAAGTCTTTTATGTAAATCTGCGGATCAGGAAGCTTCCTGTCCATTCATCTCCATGTCAGCTGCTCCCGGGCCTTCCCGGGGAGATTCAGCTAGCTCGTTTGCAAAAGGTTCAAGATGTCCTCCTATGGGGCTGGAGAGGGGCCCTCTGGTGCCAGTGCTGGGGCCTTGGACAGTCTGTGCTTGGAGCCTCCTGGGCCCTTCAGACGTTGGAGCTGCTGCCTTTGCTCTGGCACCCCATCCCACTGAAGCTCCAGGCTTGTATTCCACTACCCTCAGTGTCCTCCCTCCACATCCCTTGTGCAGCCACGTCTGCAGTGGGGCTCCCCTCCTGCCCTCCCGCACAGGGGGAAGCTGTGCCAAGCCCTTCTGAACCCTCGGGCCTCATGGGCAGTGCAGAGGACTCTGGCCAAGAGGGCCCTGGTGGGAAGGGAGCACTGCCTTCCTTGCCAGTTCTTGCCCACAGTCCTGGCCGTTGTCTGGCTGCTGGGGTCTTCAGGTTTCAGCCAGCAGTGAAGGGTTGGCAATCATTGCAGAACTTCATGGGGAGCCCCTTACTCAGGCCACTTGGAGAGCGGAGCCCCTCACAGCACACACCTCCCATGATGACCCCCCCCCATAAGTGGGAACACACAGCCTTGGCTTCGAGGTGGTCAAGCTCTTGACTCAGCATTATGCTTCCACAGGAGGTCATGGTGGTCTGTAGCATGCTTGGCCTCTCCCTTCATCCAACCCAGTGCCAAGTGCTACCTCAGGCCCAAGATGGATACCTGGGCCCTCAAGATGAGGCTCGGAGCCCCTTTCCCATCCCTCAGGTCTGCCTGTGTCTGCTGTGGCCACAACTCCAGTTATTCCCATTGGAGAATGCGATCCCCTGTGTGCAATCCCCTGTGAATCTAGGTGCAAAGCATTAGTGAAATAGTTAGCTGGAGGAGAAAGTGCGACGTGACATGTTATCCGTGGGTGGGGTCCCGCCCCTCCTGTCCTGGCTGAGCTGTAGGGATGCCTGGGCTCCTCTTGTGCGTCTGTCACAGCCGTGGTCTTGCCTAGGAGGCGGGAGTCAGTGACAGTACAGGACGGGCACCTCCACGCTCTGGAGCCAGGGGACGACCCAGACCTCAGCGTAGCAGTGCAGGGTCTGCAAGAGACAAGGGCCCAGCTGAGAGCTCGCCCCCAGCTGATGCTGCAGGTGCTGTTGGCCCCTTAGAGCGTCTGTGTGCACCGGTGTGTGTAAGTTGGTGCTAACTCCCACCATCACCTCCCTGTCGCCCTGTGTCATGGTGCTGCAGGAATGCAGGAGGTGATGCTGGGGGGGTCCAGGCCCGAATCCTACTCATCCCTACCTTTTCCAGGGTGTGGTTGGTTTGGAAGTCACAGTTGTCCAGCCGAGCATGCGAAGTCTTCCGGCAGATGGTTCGGCCGAATTCCACCTCAAGCATGTATTTGAGGCCTTTGACTATCTGCAGAGCATACGTGCTGGTGTTACAAGCCTGGTGGGAGGGCGGCAGGTTTGTGCACACACCAGCCCAGGTGTCCCGACGCAGGTGAGGTGGGGGAAGGCAGTGTGCCACAGCCCCTCATCCCCTGCCTATCGAGGTCAGATCACTTCCGCCCAGAACTCTGCACTCAGAGTTGCCTTGGGGTCGCCCTGTGTGTTGTTCCTCACCTCCTTGCAAAGGCAAATTCCTGCCTATCCTCTCCCTTCCTTCTGAGACCCAAAGAACCTGCCCGGCACTGACATACCTGCTGTTTCATCATACCTGCTGCCTCCCTCCCCCGCCCATCCTGTGCCCTTTCACCCATTCCTGAGAACCACATGTTTTGAATTTCAGGAGAGCCTTCTGGGGCTGGAGTTGTAGCGTAGTGATTAAAGCCTCTGCCTGCAGCTCCAGCACTCCATATGGCACTGGTTCAAGTCTCAGATGCTCCACTTCTGAGCCAGCTCCCTGCCAAGGCATCTGGAAAAGCAGCAGAAGATGGCCAACCCATGTGGGAGCCCAGAATGAAGCCAGGCTCCTGGCTTTGACCTGGCCCAGCATTGGTCAGTGTGGCCATCCTGGGAGTAAAATACATGGAGTCTCTCTGTTACTCCTCTTTCAAAATAAATAAAACCAAATCTAAAGGGAGGGAGGGAGGAGAGGTAGAGGATGGAAGGGAAGAAAGGAAAGGGGAGGGGAGGGAAGGAAGGAAAAAGCCATTCTCTAATTGGTGGAGTGACCTGGCTCATGTTTCGCCTTGGCCCCATCTCAGGTACAACAAGGTCATCTCCCCCATGAGCAGGGTTCAGGATGACCTCCTGTCCTCCTTGACGGGCTGAGCTTCGGCCTGACCACCCTGGTAGACAGTGCCTCAGAGGGCACTAATGCTGGAAGGCTGAGCCCAGAGCCACACGCCTGCCAGCCTTCTGCAACTCGCTTCTGACCATAAGAACCGGTTAACACAGCCAAGAACAAAGCCCTGCAGAGTGGGTGCTGCTGCAGCCCTTCTCCAACCACTCCTAGCCCCAGCACATGCCTAAGGCACAGGCTTGCCCCCTGTCCGGATTCCCCAGGCAGCCCCTCTGGCTTCCACCGTCATGCCTCCAGTTGCCCGTGCTGACGGTGTGTTCTTGGAAGTGGAGGCCAGCTGTGCCCTGCGCAGCCCATCTGGTGGGAGACCACTGGGCAGTGCCTGAGTCTTTCACATTTGTGTGTCCTCTTTGAGGGTGGGAGTGGGACAGTGGACTGGAGGCAGAGCAGGGAGGTGGGGCTTGGGGGTCTGGAGAGGGGCAGGGAGACCTATGGGGCTGAGGTTGGGTGAGGCAGGGGTGATGGTCTGGCAGTGATGTTCTCAAGGGCGGTGCCTTCATCGGGTTCTCCCTACAGCCCTCCCGCCTCTGGGAACCCTGTTTACGACTCCATCCCTCTCCCTGTGGGCTCTGGGCCTCAGAAAAACACAGATTCTAGTCAGCATTGGCCCAGGGCCTTTGTGCTCAGTCTCGGCCCAGGCGTCTGAGCTGGCGGAGTCAGGGATGGGGGTGTGGGCCGCGGCTGCTAGGCTGCCCAGGGCCACTCACCTGGACCAGGGCCCTGCTGATGCGGGACTCCTTGAACAGGAAGATGTCATTCGTGCAGTTGTTGAATCTTTCCACACTGTGCCTGGCTGCCGCCAGGACTCCGGGATCGTCTGTCTTGATTGATTCAGGGAATCCTGGCCTCACATCTGAGTCACGGTCTTGGGAACAAAACACTGCAAAAGAAAAGAGAACAGGATGGGAACAGCGATGCTAGATGTCGGCAGGGGCCCTGCCTTGGCACCTCAGGGTAGGGTGGTGGTCCATCTCCCTCTGGGTTCGCTGTGGTCCCCATTGCCCCCTTTACCCCCAACAATGCACTTGCTGTCTTTTCCTCTGGCTGCTCCATGCACCAAGCCTGGGACCAGGTGCTGTGGGTCCCCCAGGACCTGCCCACCACCTGCTGACTTCCAGCCCCTGATCAGGAGATGCAGGACATACCCCTGTCCCTGGCAGCAGGGCCTGTGGGCAGGACACGGCCCGGACTGTTTGGAAAGGTCAGCCTGCCTCGCCTGCAGACCCTTCAGCTTGTCCTGTGTGCTAGAGTTGACTTGGTCCTCCCTCTCCACTTGTCTCCCAAGATTCTTCGAGTCCATGCCCTTCCTAGGGCTGATGGCAAATGTCATTCCACAGCCGGACAGCAGGTGGCTGTGTTTCTTTGCTCTTCCTGTAACAAGGAGGCCCATGCTTGGCAGAAAGATAGGGAAATAGCCCGAGGGGTGCTTCCGGTCCAGCCTCATTCCCCAGCATCCGTGCCAGAGCCAGGGAGAACCTGGACCTCAACATCGCTTCGACTACTGGCTGGCCGGCTGGAATCTGCGTTTGGAACCCCTGAGCTGCGCGCTCCCTCGTTCAGCCCATTCCCAGCCCTGGGCCCCTGTGCTGGGCACACAGATGCTGTGTCCTGCACAGCAACAAGCAACAAAGGCAAAGCAGTGAGATGCAGGAGTCTGCGTGCAGGGTTGTTGGTGGGGCTGCTGGGTCTGTAGGGAGTCAGTTAGGCCCTGTGGTCAGTGGAGGGCTGGGTCCCAGCACTCGGAGACCAGCACAAGCCAGAGAAAGGGCCTGGGGAGCTGGACCAGGTGTGATGTCTGCTACTTGAAGTCGTACACTTTGGGTTTTGATACAAAGAGGAGATGGTTGAGTGTGACTAGTCCTCATGTTTTGTACAGCCAAAAGCAAATGCTGCTGGCTTTGGCCCTGGGGTGGCTTTCTCAATATTTTTCACTTTTTTCTACTATGAACAACTTGTATAGTTAATAAAAATTTTTGAAAGTTTGGGACATTTTGACAAACTGGGGAGATGGGTAAGGGAAGGTTTAAGTTTGTGATTCGCTAGGCTCAGGGTTGATACATTTTCTGAAATACCAGTGTGGTTGTCTCCCAAGGCAGTTGCCGCCCAGGGCTGCCATGGATCAGGTTGGAGCTCATTCAACCAAATGGGAATGTCCCTTCTTGGTGGCTGGGTCCACATTTTAAGTATTGGGCTATGTGGGCAGTGGCTGCTGGGCTGGGCTGTTGGGGCCATTCACCTCTGCTGCCTTTGACGTTGAGCCCTGGGGTGAGGGCTTCCCTCAGGGAGGTGGGACTGAGTAGCAGGAAGTAGGGGCCCCAGTGCAGCAGCAGCAGTCCTATGGTTAGACTTCCTAAGGAGAGGTTTCCAGGGCTGTGCTGTGGTAACACGCCACAATCCCACTGTGATGGGGTCTCAGGTGCCTCAAGCTTTCACGGGTGCTGCTGGTGCAGGAGGAGGTGAGGCCCAGCTGGCTCCTGGACTTTGAAGAAATGGAAGCTTTGGGGAGAAAGAATGAATGCAACTGCGGAGGACAGAGCTGGGGACCCAGTGTCCCCCAACTCCAAAGGGAGATAGCAGGCAATTATCAAGGTTTAGGGCAAGGAGCCAGAGGGACCCCTGTTTCTTAGACCTAAGGCTTAAGTGCAGTCTGCAGGCTGGCCAACTCCTTGTCTGGGTGGAAGGAGGTCAGGGCTGGAGGGCTTAGAGTAGTGCCCTGGGCAGTGAGCGCCAGCTGTGCATACATCACTGATGCAGGGTGGGATGGGAGCGGGGGCAGTACACGTGCTCCCATGGTCCCAGGGCCTGGTGTTGCCTGTGGGTTATTCTCAGCGGCCAGGTCCAACATTGCAGGCATTGATAAGGTACTGTCAGGACACAGATGTGTGAAATATGGGGAGCTGTGATCATACCAGCATTGGGGTTACCATCGCCTTCCTAGCTCCTGGACTTGTACCAGGGACCCAGGGCAGAGGGGTCCCGTGAGCACCAGGGACTGAGGGCAGAGGGGGTCCCGTGAGCACCACTGACCGAGGGCAGAGAGGGGTCCCGTGAGCACCAGGGACCGAGGGCAGAGGGGGGGTCCCGTGAGCACCAGGGGCTGAAGGTACACTGAAGTCCCATGAGAACCGGGGACCGAGGGCAGAGGGGGTCCCGTGAGGACCAAGGACTGAGGGCAGAGGGGAGTCCCATGAGAACCAGGGACAGAGTAAGGATTAGAGTGGAAGGTACAGCAACCAGAACACTTCTTGATGATAAAAAATGCTGTTTGTTAGGGTTGGCACTGTGGTACAGAGGGTTAGACTGCTGTGTGGAACACCTGTATTCCCTCTGAGTGCTGGTTCAAGCTGCTCCACTTCCAATTTAGCTCTCTGCTGATGCACCCGGGAAAGCAGTGAAGGATGGCCCAAGTGCTTGGGCCCCTGCACCCACACGGAGACCCATATAACGTTCCTGGCTTTTGGCTTCACCCTAGCCCAGCCCAGCCCTGGCTCTTGTAGCTATTTGGGGAGTGATGTAAGAATCTCTCTCCCCCTTTCCTTTCCATCTCTATTTTAAATAAATTAACAATGCAATTCCACCACACCAGTGGCAGGTGCCTCCTGCTGCACCCCCATCCTGTGTTTCTCAGCATCAGGCCTTGCCCTCTCAACATTTTCCACCTGGGTGAACTCTGCTTCATTTACACATGATGACTATTTGTGTCCGTGGACCCCTTACCAACAATCTGAGATCTGAAGTGTGATCCTGGGCCCAGTGGGTGACCCCAGAGCTTGGATCTGAAGTGTGATCCTGGGCCCAGTGGGCAACCCCAGAGTTTGGATCAGAAGTGTGATCCTGGGTTCAGTGGGGGACCCCAGAGCTTGGATCAGAAGTGTGATCCTGGGTTCAGTGGAGGATTCCAGAGCTTGGATCAGAAGTGTGATCCTGGGTTCAGTGGGGGACCCCAGAGCTTGGATCAGAAGTGTGATCCTAGGCCGAGTGGGCGATCCCAGAGCTTGGAGATATGGGTGGCGATGCAGCCGTCACTTGGACACAGAGTAGAAGAGGGTGCAAGCTTGTTCCCCTCTGACACCACCTCTGTGCCAGCCTTCGTCCTGAAGGCCTGCCTGGACCAGATGGTTGCACGTGCGGTGGGGAAGGGATGGGTTCTACAGAAGCCACTACAGGTGAAAAAAAAAAGGAAAGAGGAAGCCATTTTCCTTTTTCAGGAGGATTTAGAGGTGGCTTGGGCTTGGGGGAATCCCAGTGTGTGAAACCCCTAGCCCTCCCCAGAAGGGAGGCCTTCTGGTGCCCTGGGCTGAGGGCCCCTCATTATGGGTGGGTCTGAGTGGCGCTGAGATCCTGGAGAGGAAACCTTTCCAGCCGCCCCTACTGCCCTGCGTCTCCCGGGGCTGTGCCCAAGACTGGGGTGACAGGGAGTAAGTGTCCAGCAATGACTCTTCTCAGCCTGCACATACCCTGCTCTGCTTCTGTCACCTGACACCCCCAAAATTCTGGGTTGGGTTCCTTGCTGGTCATTACACGAGCTGTGCTCTGGGGTCCCCGGTTGCTAAGGAGCCAGTGGGCTTGTGCTTTAGTGGGAGGAATCCTGGCCCTACCTTCTGGCTGCTGTGCAGCCTTGGGTGAGGTGCTTAACCTCTCTGAGCCTTCTCACCTTCATCTATAACCAAGTGGCGGTAGTGAGGGTAGGGTTACTGGGGAAGTGGTGGCATGCACGTCACAGGTGGTGGTGGCGATGAGAATGGAGAAGATACCACATGTGGCACACTGGTTATTGGGTGCAGGAGAGGCTCCTCCAAGGGTAAGCACTTGGCCCCATTAGAAGATGGAACATCACCACCAGGAGGGTGGGCTGGCGCAGTGGTCCCCAGGCCCGCTCACCCCTTCTTTGTCCTTCTGAGGTTGCAGGGAGGCCCCCATTCTGCAGGAGAGATTGTCTCTCCAGGCAGGCTTGGATAGAAAAGCAGGTGACCCCTGACCCAAGGTTCCTGGCTTGTCTGGAGGGGGAGGGGAGGCAGCTTCCTGAAAAGCGGAAGTTTCCAGGAAGACAAAGAAGCAACGTTCCCCTCCCCCCCCCTTGTAACTGACGGCAGCTGCAACTGTGTGAGCCTTATGGCAATGTCCTGTGTCCTGGAGGGCTTGGCAGCACAGTGTGTGGAGGGCAGGGAGGGGAGCTCAGTGGAGAGAAGCCTGATGCTACAGGGGTTGGCCCTGGGCGTCCATGCAGCTCTGCTTCTCCTCCAACCAGCAGGCTCTGGGATCTGCTGTCAGCTGCAGCGGGCTGTGTGGAGTACAGACCCGGGTTGGGGCCCAGGTTCCCAGACATGGCTGCAGCGTTGGCTGCCTGGCTCACGCAGACGTCCTGGACCCCTCAGGCTCAGCAACCCTGTTCCCTCCACCCACCAACCACCTCAGGCCCGAGGGGGGAGGTTTGTGGTCCTGCTTTATGTGGGTGATGGTCTGAGCCTTGCAGCCTCTCCAAGGCCCCACAGCTTTGATCTAAGGGCGTCTGAGGTCCCCCCAACCTCTGTGGGGACTCCACCTCCTCCATCTGAGAGTCGGAGAGTGGGTCTGAAGGGGGAGGCCCAGGCTAGCCCTGGCCTGGGAAACGGCAAAGCCTGGCCATGCTGACACAGCCCAGTGCCCAGGGGGCGCCACCTGCAGCCTCGTACCTGCCTTGTGGGATGGCAGAACTTGGAGAAGTGGGAACGGTGAGTGGGTGGGTAGGAAGGCAACCGCTTCAAGAGATCTGGCTTTGAAGCTCTGCTTGTCCACTGCGCATGTTCAGCTGCCACCACACCCTCACCCCAGCTCACTGCTTCTCCCCTGGAGCACACCGTGGGGTAGTGGCTCAGGGAGGTGGCAGGTAGGGTCAGAGCAGGATGGGAAGCAGAAGCCTCCGCAGAGAGGGGCCCTGGCCCAGCAAGCTGCTGGCTTGGCCAAGAGCGGGCTGCCTGTTTGCTTGGTGTCTGCTCCCTGGCCTGTGCCCCTTCACTGAGAGACGCCCCCCCCAAGTCACAGCACCCACCATTCACCCCCCTCCTGGGGCCAAAACTGAGGCAGAGCCCACGTGCCAATGCCACCTGATTCCATGTTTACCCAGCCTGGGGGTCACCCTTCATCTGGTTGTTCTTAGTCTCTGGGTGGTAGAACTTGAGCAGGTCACAGCCCCGTGACACCTGCTTGGCTGCCCCCGTCTGTGGCTCTACATTCATGTGGGCATCTGAGGACACCGGCCAGCCCCTTCTGTGTAACTTGGGCAGCTCACCTCTCAGCCCAGCCAGCTTCTCTTCCCCTCCCCTTTCTCTTCGTACTTTCCCTGATGTCCAGGGGCAGACTGAAGAGTCCCTTTGGTCAGGTGAGGCCAGCAGACAGGCAGGGATGCCCTTAGGGGGACCTGCGCAGGGTGGTTGTGTCCTTGGTTGGCTCCGGTTCCCACCCCCGGGCAGATCTTGGGCTTCCTTTAGGGGCTGCACAGTCCCAGGTGGGGAGGAAGCCACTGTGGTCAGCTAGTCTAGGGGTAGCAGTGGGGTGGCCAGGGAAGAACCCTCTTACCTGGGGAAGGGGCTGCAGTGGTGTGTACCATGAGGCAGGAGATGGCAAGCAGCACCCCAGCCAGCCACATTGCTGAAGGATGATGGGCAGTGCTGGGCTCGAGTGTGGGGAGCGGAGTCCACCCTGCCAAGTACCCCGCTCCCCCAAGGCCGGGGCTGGGCCAGGGCGGAGCTGGGGACGCCTGCATTTCGGCGTGGTTGGTGAGGAGTGGCTTCTTGTTGAGTCATTTTGCTCACAAGCCCTCCCCTGGCCACCTCTGTAGGCCACACCGTCAACCGCTTCCTTTACAAAGTTTCCAGGCAGCGACGGTTTGCTGGGGGGTGGGGTGGGCAGGAGAAGTGAGGCCTGACACGGAGCCCTGTGCTTGCTGTGCCCATCCCAGGCACTGGCAGAAAGCTGGTGTGTGCAGAACAAGCTGGGACTTTCAGAAGCAGAATCATGCCGTTTTCCTTTTCCATTTGTTCTTTCTCCCTCCATTCCAGACCTGGACATGGCCAGGAGGAAGGGGCTCTGGGGGGCAGAGGCAGGAAGCAGGTGGGACACACTCAGGTCTCCGAGTTCACTGCAGGGCTGGCTGAGCAACTGAGCTCTGCCTCACAGCCTTCACATTAACCCAATTCCCTGGGAAACACTGCCGATCTCCCAGGTTGGTCCAGATTCCAGGCAGGAGCCTCTGGGTTCCTCTTGGGGTGAGGATCTCCTAGGTCCTGGCTGCTCCAAGATGTGCTGTTAGGACCATGAGGGCAGGCAGGCTCCTGCTGCAGAGAGTGCTGCTACTAGCCATACCCCGGGTACTAGAGAATACCCAGGGCATTGCAGTGCACTCAGGGTGGTTGGCAGAGCTGCCCCAGGATGCCCAGGGCACTGCATTGCAGTCAGGGTGGCTGGTAGAGCTGGCCCAACCATGCTCAGGACACTGCAGTGCACTCAGGGTGGCTGGCAGAGCTGCCCCAGGATGCCCAGGGCACTGCAGTGTGCTCAGGGTGGCTGGCAGAGCTGCCCCAGGGTGCCCAGGGCACTGTAGTGTACTCAGGGTGGCTGGCAGAGCTGCCCCCAGGGCACCCAGGGCACTGCAGCATGCTCAGGGTAGCCGGCAGAGTTGCCCCAAGCATGCTCAGGGCACTGGAACAGATCAGGTTCACCAGCAGAGCTGCCCCGGGTGCACTCAGGGCATTGCAGCACACTTAGGGTTTCTGGCAGAGTAGCCCCCAGGCACCTAGGACACTGCAGCATGCTCAGGGTGGCTGGCAGAGCTGTCCCAGGTGTGCGTAGGACACTGCAGTGTGCTCAGGGTGGCTGGCAGAGCTGCCCCCAGGTTGCCCAGGGCACTGCAGCGTGCTCAGGGTGGCTGGCAGAGCTGTCCCAGGATGCCCTGGGCACTGCAGTGCACTCAGGGTGGCCGGCTGAGCTGCCTCCAGGGTGCCCAGGGCACTGCAGTGCACTCAGGGTGGCTGGCAGAGTTGTCCCAGGTGTGCATAGGACACTGTAGCACACTCGGGGTGGCTGGCAGAGCTGTCCCAGGCGCACTAGCAGCTCCTTTCATCTGTTCTTTAAAGACAGGTAATGTGGGGTCAGCATGTGACATAGTGGGTTGAGCCTCCGCTTGCATCCCATGTCTGAATGCTGGTTAAAGGCCCAGTTCCTCCAATTCCTTTCCAGCTCTGCACCTGGGAAAGCAGCAGCAGCAGATGGCCCACGTGTTTGGGCCTTAGCTCCCTACAGGAGGAACCAGATGGAGTGCCTTGCTCCCGGCGCTGGCTTAACTGTTGCAGCCATTTGGGGTGTTAACCAGTGGATGTAAGATCTCTCTCCCCATCTCTCCCTCTCTACTTTTCAAATAAATAAGTAAGTTTCACAAGCTAAAATGCTGCTAAGTAGTGCCCCCGTCTCTGCAATTCCAGTGACCCCTGGCCACCCGTGGTCTGACAGTAGACAACGGAAGACTCTGGTTTAAACTCTGCAGTTTTGAGTGGTTTGATGACACATCCTGCTGTCCTTGTTCTCCACACGGTCAGTGCTGGCCGCCCTCTGGTCACTTAGTAACCGGTTATCAGATTCACTGCTAGGGCACCCAGCTGCTCGCAATCAGTGTGACCATGACATTGGCAGTGAAGACGTGCAAGCAGAAGCCAGAGCTATTTCCTGCAAGTGAAAAGGTGCAAGTCTCCAGCTCAGTATGGAAAGTCAGCAAACGTAGGCTGAACTTGTTCAAGCTTGCTGGAAGAAGAATTTCCTCCCCTCCCATGGAGCTGTGACGAAGGAAGAAGTCAGACCTGGACTTGTGACGAGTGCTCAGTTCTGCACGTCGTGTCCCCGTGTGGGCATTGCACTGTGTCGTAGCACCCTAGCAGGAGTGCGTACCGCTCAGTGAGGGGTTTTGAAAGAGAGTGGAGTGGGTGGTGGTGGGTGGGGGCAGGGGATCTTCCATCTGCTGTTTCACTTCCCAAAGACCTCAAAAACAAGGGCTGAGCCAGGCCAGAACCAGGATCCTGAAATTCCACCTGGGTCCTCCTACCCAGGTACAGGGTCCAAGCATGTGGGCCACCCTCTGCTGCTTCTCCAGGCGTGTTAGCAGGGAGCTGAATCAGAAGTGGAGCAGCCAGGACTCAAACTGGAGCTCTGAAGTGGGACACTGTGTGATAAGCCGGGGCTTTGTCGGCTGTGCTGTAATACCAGCGCCTCCCGAAGTTTTCTGGTGTGTGGAGACATGAAGCTGGGGAACCTGCACAGGAGCAGATGCGGAGGGTTTGTGATGATAGTGGAAGGAAACGAGCTGCGTGATAGGGGCTCAGTCGGCAGAGGTCCCATCCCCAAGGAGTGGGGAAGGAACTAAGCATCTCACGGCAGGTCGAAACCCAGACGAAGAACATGGCGCCTGGTGTGGATGGAGGGGTTCCAAGCCAGCAAGAGTGGGCGTGGCAGCATGGACTGGTCATCCAGGGTCTCCCACATGTTGGGAGGCTCTGCAGGGCTTTCTCTCCGTCACTCGTAGGTGAGCACGCACGTGAGGCAGCCTTTATATGCTGGGAGAGCACTGCCCTTGCCCTCCCGGTGGAAATCGAAGCCACTCAGCTGGGAGACCTAACCCTGAGACCTACTCTTCTTCTCTCTCCAGCCACCGGGAGCTTCCCGGCAACCAGATGTTGAATGAGAGGAGACTCCGGTGGGGCATACGGGCAAGTCTGCGTCGCACAGGCAGCGAGTGGGAGCAGACTGGCAGCACTGCATCCTCTTGCTGTGAGTGGTGAGCAGGCAGTGAACTTGGCTCAGAAGTAGAAATAACCAGACCCATGATCATCTCCTGGCTCAGGGGGCCGTATGGCTAGAGATGTGGAAGGACCACCATTTAGAACACTGAATGCCAACATCCCAATATGGGTGTCAGTTTAAGTCCCAGCTGCTCCATTTCCAACCTTGCTCCCTGCTGATGCATCTGGAAAAGCAGTGGAGGATGGCCCATGTGCTTGGGCCCTTGCTATCCACATAGGATGCCTGTTCTTGGGATGCCAGCCCCCTCACTCTCCAGCTGCACTGTCATCACCCAGTGGGCTCATGAACAAAGGGACCATGGTGGCCGCTCTCTCGAGCCTAGCCGTGGGTCTGGCAAAACAGACCTGCATTCAGAAAGGTCTTTTGGGAACTGATTTTGAACTGATCCCGGCTTGGTGAGGTTCAGAACCTCTCTACAGGTCGCTTGTCAGAGTCTGGGTCTGGGGAAGGAAGGACAGATCAGTGGGGTTTCCCAGTGTGTGCCCCAAACCCTCCTGGCAGTCATTTCCCCAGAACTGAGGGAAACTTAGTGCCTAGATGAATCCCCCAGTGACTCCCTGGCCTGTGGGGTGAAGTCTATGGGAAAGGTGAAGTGGAAGCTTCTAGAACCACCTCTGCTTAGGAGCAGAGTGGCAGCATTCCTGGAGGGATGGCAGAGCTCGGGCTCCTGGCCTGAGCAGCAGCCAGATGGATCCCAGGGTGCCTTAGCATGAGCTTTGGCAGGTGGTCACTCCAGCTGCTGCATCAGGTATGACTTCGTGGCACAGGGAAGGGAATGCATCCCCGGGGACCCAGTGTGGAACCCTAGGCCTGGCAGGTGCCTGTTTGGCCATTCTCGCTCACAGAAACTGTCAGAGACCACATGGTGGGAGGTGTGGCCTTCCACTGCCTACCCCCAGGGGCATGACTCTGCAGCCCTGTGTCACAGTGCAGGTCATAGGGGATCTAGAGCCACATGGGGGAGGATTCCACTCAGATCGTGGGCGCTCTCTGCGTGTGCTTCCTGGGATTGATGGAAGGCCTGCATGTGTGGGCGCACAGGTGTAAGATGACTACGCGTGATGGTGTTTGTGCACTGAGCATTCTCCCAGCCCAGGATGCCTGCTATAGAAACGACGGGCTCTGTATGCACTCTTCGGCATTCATTCTCCATCCTTTAACCTTTTCCTTCTTTTAAATATTTGTTTATTGATTTGAAGGTAGAGTGACGGAGAGAAAGAAATTCCCCATCCATCGATTTGTTCTCCAGGTGGCTGGGAGTGGGCCAGGAAGGCAGGAACTTCTTGCACGTCTCCTACGTGAGAGGCAGGGGCCCAGGACACGGGCCATCTTCCACTGCCTGCTCAAGCATGTTAGCGGGGAGCAGGGATGGAAACAGAACTGCCAGGATGCAAACTGGAGCTCCCTTATGGGATGCTGGCATTGCAAGCGGTGACTTAACGTGTGGTGTCTGGGCCAGCAAGATGAGTCTGCTCTGGGGAACTCGAGGGACACGTAGCTTCTCCCTCCACAACCTTCTGGGGGGGGGCAGCACCCCAACGTCTAAGGCCTGAGAAGCACTGCTGTTCCCCTGGCCTCTTCTCATTAGCGTGCACGGTGTCCTGACTTGCTCAGGGTGTCCCTTTGCTGATCTTGGCCGTGCACAGTGCATGACTTGGTCACTAGTTGGTCTTCGAGCTGCATTTCCGCACCAGATCCCTGCTTTGCCTCAGAGTGAAAAAGAGGGAGGTGCAGCTTGGGCACCCCTTATCCCCACTCGCCCACTGCTCGGCACACAGTGGTTAAAGCATGCTGCATTTCATGATGGGGTGCGAGGGGGCTGTCTTGGCACAGAAGACATCATCTGGGCAGACTCTGCTCTCAGGGTCTCCGGAATGGCATTG